AAAAAAAAAAAAAAACATTTCGCTTTCTAGAAAGCTACCTTTCACATATACTATAGTAATTATATTAAGAAGTGGGTTGTTGGATTTATAATGTTGTGCTTAATTTACTTAATATCTATAACTATATATATATTCTATATATTATTTAAATTTTGGAAGTTTTTGTTCCGATTTCACTAGAGAGGTAAGATGTTGTTTACTTAATGTCTTCTAATGACGATCGCAATCAGTCAACGGTTAAAACAAAGGTTTAATAAAGAATTTACAAAGAAAACTAGATTTCTTGCTTTAATTACTAGATTGGTTTCTGAGGTCGATGTCAGCTTTTTGATTACTCTTGGGATAATCTCAATCCTTGTTACATATCAATAAATGTGGGGAGATAGAGAGAAAGTTGGTGGGAATTTCAACAACAAGCATTAATAAATTAGGGGATCTTCTTATTTATAGTAACACTAAACTGTTACTGTTCAGTACTCCGTCTCCTAGAGCCTTCCTCACAAGCATTTCATGAGATTTGAGGAGCTAATGATTACCTATGTGGCATTAAATATACACATGTGAGCATTTAATACTGAGAGGCCGCCCTACGGACTTCTGCATAATAGGGTTGCAGACTAGAGTGGCACGCCCCATTTGCAATCATCACTTGACAAGTGTCAATATTTTATTATTTTTAGACTATGAGTGCATGTCGGGGCCAGTCTTGACGAATCTCCACGGGCAACCCTCGCCTTTTGGTCTTCGAAGTATTTTTTTCTGGTTCGGTGCTCATGGAGGTCAACATCGTCCTTTAGGCGCCGAAGTGTTGTTCTGAAAAACAGTTTCGCTCATTATCCTCAACAACTCAACTTCTTGTCCAGCCCGGATCTCCTACAATTCTAGCATCGGTCTAGTCCCGTGGGGCTGCCTTCGTCCGGGTTACTATATTTCATTCTTCTAATTTGTGGGTCAATCCCTCGTGGTTCAACTGTGATATCAACATCTCCAATTAAATATGTTATCTAAATTTTAGAAATTTTATTTTGAATTTATGGATATGTGAGATGTTTTGTACTTAATGTCTACAATTACATACAAAGGCGTAGTGATGTAGCGAATGTGAATGGAAGGGGAACAAGAAAAGATAAAACTCTCATTTTCTTATATAAACTAAAACTCGATTGATTGGCCTTTGTCTTTAGCAGATAATTATATAGAGTTCACAAGTTCTAAAATTACTTAACTTACCCACAAAGAAAAGGAAAAGGTAATAAAAGTAAATTCACCTACCAAACCAAATAAAGTAAAAATTAAAAAAAAAAATTATGATGAAAATAAATAATAATTAATGAAGCCGACGATCACGCTTTTCCAAGAAGGCAAGAGCGACCTCGTCGCCCTTTTCCAAGAAGGCAAGAGCGACCTCGTCGCCATTATTCTCGTCCGGTTGATAAGGATTCACCCTCGAATTCGACCACATCTTGTTGTACGAATTGTTGCCGCGAAAAGGCACGAAGTGCTTCACATTGAGGACATCGGGGGTGTGGATGTGAAGAGGAAGGCGAAGCTAATACGTATTAGAATTGATCTTCTTCATGATTTTGATCGGGCCTATCTTCTGGGCCAAGAGCTTGTTATACTCTTGTTCCGAAATTATATGTAAGGGATATTTGAGGTTTGCTAATAACTTTATATACTCACTCTATTATTAGAACAATACTATAAGTACATAATATTGTATATAAACGTGCACATAACACTAACATTTGAGTGGAACCCGCTAAAAATAAAAAAAAAAAAAAAATCAAATAGATCCACCCATGTGAATGTTATTTACACCTCTACGTATATTTATTATGTAGTTATAACATTTTTCATATTATAATATGTAAGCGAATAATTTTAATACGCAGCACACTTATTTATGACATACTTTAAGCCACGTGAACATAATGTGGGCAGTGGGCTACTTCGGATATGCCTTACCCTTCGCATTAATTAACCAGCTTATGAATTCCAATAATTTCGGATGTCTCCTCAACTATTTTTATAATTGGAATTTGTGTGAATAATATTTTATTTTTATATCTGAATGTCGCATTGTATTTGAATATTCGCTAACATTATCAATCATCGTCTAATTGGCATAATCACCTTCCTTTTGCGTGGAATTGTTTGAAAGGTCCAAATAATGGTTTTACATTAAAAAAATTTCAATTATATTTGAATATTCATGTAGCACCCAGAATAACTATGTGAATCGGGAAAAGAACGGTTTGCTCGGTAATCAGTTTCAAGGACCCCAAAGCTCCATATCGGGAGTATGACCTCAGCACGAGCTTGGTTTGGGGTTAAGGGAGATTCAAGACATTTCTAAGGAATTTGTCAGGTGGGCATAGTGCCCGACCTAGTATAGAGGTTGGGAAAGTAACGATCAAGAAAAGTCAGTGATGATGCTTCACCAAAAAATATCAGTTGGGTCTAGTAATTCGATCGTCTGAGATGTTATCGACGGGTGGAACTGGTGACTTGCAAAAGGGATTGAGAGGTTCTCCTATCTAGCATTCGCTCTGACGATCAAGTTAGTGAGATATCTGAAGAAGGAAAGTCAAGACTAGAAGATGATTTCAGGTATTAAGAATGAGGGAGTGGAAGAAGTCCATGACCGTAACTTTACCCATTATTGTGATCTTACCCTAATTTTGTCTTAGCATGTCAAAGAAAGGTCTGCCTGAAAGTACAACGAGCTGCCCCAACGGGTTGCCCGAAAGTACAATGGGTTACCCCAACGGGTTGTCCGAAAGGGACAAGTGGTTGCCCGGATGAGCTGCTAGCTCCAGATTCGTTCTTATCCTAATGACTAAGATATGACTAGGATTACCTTGATGTGTTTACACTTGACCATTACCCGCGTTTACACTTGACCATTACCCTTTAGGTCTTTTGAATTCAGGTGGAGGTAACTTAAAAAGACTTATTTATTTAGGTCATTTAGATAGTTATGACACCTTTAGATCGTTTTATGTAATTTTAGCACCCTTTTGATCGAGTATTAGGTCTACTTTGTCATTTAGGTCTTTCGGGTAGGCCGTTTAGGTCCTCGACTGTAGTTTGGATAGTTTAGGTCGTTCTTGTTGTTCGACTCAGCTTGGTCGTTCGGCTCAATTGGGTTGCCCCCTAAAACAATCTATTAAGGCGTACTTCTCTAAAATTAGGGGTCCAGCAAATATCGTTCAGTTACGTCGAAATATTCTAAAAAAATGTAAATGATATTTCCGACTAGTTTAATCAACTAATACCGCTAAATTCATGTTAATAGACATGATCGAATCGGGCTATTTCATAATATCACATATCATATTAAGTATTGCTCTCTTTAAAATAGGAGATTGAAAATATATTGCCAGCACTTTTGCACTTTCACTAACAAAATTCGTCGCTTTTGCTATAACACATATATGCATCATTGTACCAGCAAACTACTGTAATTATAGTCACATAAAGTCATAGTAAAACACAACCCAATACCAAAAAGTGATTCTTAAAAAGCCATGGACTTATAGAAAAAGTTTCATATATGCTGTTGAAACTAAAGTGCCCTTATATAAGGGGCACTGTAATTTATTACACTCACAATTCGAAAAATGAAACCCCTTTATTTTTTATTTTTCTTTTTCATTAATAACAGCCTCTCACAAACAAACTTTACCAAAAGCTTCATGCCAAAATGACAATGACTTTCTCTTTAGGGTAAAAAAGTTATACTGCACACTAAAGTGGGTCTATTCATACTACAAATTTCAAAGATTTTTTACATTGAGGTAAATTTGAAATTTATTACTATATTATTGAAGGCGTACAAAGTCGTACTTTTGAGCCAAATAGTTTGGCTTTCCAAGATTTTAAGAGATTATACGTCTCTCTCCATATCTATACTTTTTTTTTTTTTAGCCAACTACG